CTGACGATGACGCCCACGCAGCCCCAGCAGCCCCAGCAGCAGGCACCAGCGGCGGGCTGCAGTCCTCCAAACCACATTGGCCATGTCCCATACGAGGTGAGCTAAAGCACTGCGCGACGGTTACCTTCTCTCGTTGCCTCACTAGCTGTCGTACCGTACCCGTCGCATACCGTTGCAGCGATATTGACAGAGTGTATAGACTGTAACCATTTGACGGCTAATGCTGATTTCATGGCCCGTTGTTCTTGTCCCGCGCCCATTCTTCTTTATCCCACAGCCACAGTACTCGAACGAGCCGTCTCTAAGTTCCATTCCATCTCCGACCAAAGACGGCCTGGTCCGCCCCACCTCCGAGACCTCCTACCCTTCGTCTACCAGTGGTGAGGGCAGTGGGTGCTTGGAGAGCGCTGCGGGGCCGGCGTCTGGGCCCGTACCAGCTTTCCCCGCCGTGCAGGAAGCAAACGGCAGCCTGGCCGCTGCTGCCGCCTCCGCTGGTGTTGGCGGGGGCGGGGGCAAGGGTGGGGCCCGGGGCGGGGGGGGGGGCCGGGGCCCCGATCTGGCGGCGGCGAAACGCGTTTGTGGAGTGGGCGAACACGATGCATCACGAAATGGTGGTTGAAGAGCAGCCGCCTGGCGGAAGCAGCGCGAGTGGTGGCAGTGGCGGTGGCAGTGGCAGTGGCAACGGTAGCGGCAGTGGTGTCCCTGGCGGAGGTATGCCTGGACATGGCAACACGATGGCAGGCGGGGCAGGCGGCACAGAGCAGCACGCGTCATCATCATCGGGCTACAATGTTCCCTTGGCGCTTGCGGCGGACACGCTGCCACCGGAGGGTGTGCAGTTCCAGTATGCGCCGGTAGGAGGCCTTGGAGGGTGCCCTTGGTGGGGAGCGCGGATTAGTTGCTGGTCGGTCTGTCGGTCTGTCGGTTGGCTGGTTGCTCGGGAGTCCATGACAGCTCGGTAGGATTGGAGGCAGTGGACATGCTGCATCTTCCACCACCATGCATAGGTGTGTGGCGCCGTGTATGGTTTGCAAGGCCAGGTGACACTGGCACCCGCATGCTGCCTGGGCTCGCTGCGGGTTGGTCGGAGGCGTACCAGCGGGATGTGGCTGTGTGTTGAGTAACCACTGCTCGAATCCACTTCTATCCATCCACACACACGCATGCGAGGGAAAAGGATGCCACCCCGCAGCCTTCACGCGTCTCAATGGCTACCTGCTCGCCCCATAATTGCTTAGCACCACATACCCCATCCACTTACCCCATACCACCACATGCATGGCGAACTGCTGACGAACTGCTGAATAGGGCGTCTACATCACGTTGAAGCCACCGGCACAAAAAGGCGGCCCGGTTCGGCTGGTCAAGGTTCGCTTCAATCGCAAGATGTTCACGGAGCAGTCTCAAGGCCAGGCCTGGTGGAACATGCACAGGGCGACACTGGCGGCGATGTACGAGCTGACCTTCGACATGGGGAACAAGGTGCGTGCAGGCGACCAGTGGCTGCGTGTGTCTGTCTGTCTGTCTGTCTGTCTGTCTGATGACAGTGCTTCTGGCCGAGAGGTCGGGAGAGGCCAAGAGGCTGAAGTAGATGGCTGAAGGGAGGACTGGCCGGAACTTAGGGTTTGCGGATTCAGTACTACATACTCGGAATGCATCTTTTTATGCCTTTTCCTTCCTGCCTTGACTATTACTTGATGAAAATAGGTGCGCATCACCATTTTTGATGAATATCCAGGCACCTGTAGCACCATCATCATCACCGCCGGGGTTGCCGCCGCTAGCTCCTGGTTCACACGGCACAGTTCCCCCGGCCGCCATGCACACCCGCGGCATGAGCACCGACACACAAGGGACGAGCGCCGGCAGCACCGCGGCGTCGGGGAGCAGTAGCATGTACTTCTCCGTCCCAGTCAGTAACAGCCCCCTTCACGGGGGTGCAGCCACTGGCGCCGCTGGCGGGGGCGACCTTGTGACGGGTTCAGCGGGGGCCATGTGGCGTTCTGTCGCGTCAGCAATAGCTGGCGGCGGCGGTGGCGGTGGTGGCGCCGGCGGCGGCGGCGATTTCGATATGACTTGGACTGAGCTGAACTACGACAGCCAGGCCATGATGGTGTTGCCGCCGCCGCCACCTGTGGGGACTATGGGGGTGGCGGGGTCCCCTGCAATGCTGCAGCGACGCGACCACTCTCGGAACAGCAGCCGCACGGCCAGCGGCGGCTCAAGCCATGCAGGCGTATCGAGGCCGCCCTCGCAGCCGTGCCCAGAGTCACCCGTGTTTGCCTTGCAGCAATTTGGTTCGGGGGGAAGCGGCTCGGCTGGCGGTGTTGGTGTTGGTGTTGGTGGCGATGGCGGTGGCGGCGGCGGAGGGCCATTATACCCAGCGACTGCTAGCGCCCTGGCGACGGCTGCTGCCGCC